TTCATGGGCTCTCACATCATAACATGTTCTTGTTCTGTTTGAGACGATGTTAGGTGCCGTTTCAAAGAAGTAAACAGAAAACATGAGAAATTGCTGCTGTTGGCTGAAATTTTGTTGTTTTTTTCATCAGCACACCAGGAGTATTAGAGTAGAAGCAGGTGACTTGAGCGGGGCCCTCAGGGAGGAGGTGTTGTTGGGAGAGGGTGGTGGACTTTGCTGCTGCACGTCTGTCAGCTTGTTCACAGCTTAGTTCGTACACCACTGCCTGCAGCCATCACACCTGCCTGTCTGTCCCACTGCCCAGATGATGATAATAGACTGTTGGCTATGAATGCACACATATTATCCTTAAAAGCCTTTTCACATTGACGGGAGGACAGAAACTCTGTGTGTTTGTGTGATGTTTGAATTTGATTAATCATTGGAGCAAACATTACATTTTTACCTGTTGTGATGTAATTGAATATTAACCTCCTAACAAAAAGTCTAATTTGTGCATCACTTATTAACAGATTTGAACATTAGACCACAAACCTCCAAAAGTTGATTCTGTTCATCTGGAGGTAACGTTTTCAGTGGGAAAACCACTGAAAACGTTACCTCCAGATGAACAGAATTTCCTTTTGGAGATTTACTTACTGGGGTGATTGAGCATGCATCAAGACATTAGACCACAAAGTTAACCAGAATGTTTTAGTTTGATCATTTTCTCCTAACACATTTTTAACTAATCAACTGGTAAATGTAAATAAAGTACAAATTTTCCAGTTAAGCAATCTGTCCAAGAATAAATGTTAGTAGGTTCGTCCTATTCAGCACTGCTTTCAGATCTGAGTGCGTTCTGTTTGGCTTGGTTCAGGTTCTCTGACCGATGCACTGCAGATTGCAAATCAAGATTTTAGCTGTTTCTGGTTTAGAAGTAATACAGTGTGCTCACATTCAACAAGCACACAGATGCACAGAGCTTTTGGCTTTTAAGAAAATGTACTTCCGTTTTAGTCACACATTAGTCATCTCACTGCCATCAGTTTTAGTTTGGCTAACGAACAGCATGCTCAGGCTGCAGCTGTCAAGCTTTGATATGTACAGCTTCTGTGATTGCACATGTTGTTCGTGTTTATTGTGAGGTTAGGGGAACAGGCACTGTTTACCTGTTTGTAGTGGAGTGTTCAGTGGTTCCCACATACTGTGCCCGTGTAACTTGGCTTTGCAGAAATAATAGCAGGTGATGTCTAAATTATTCTCCACGGCAAATCCAGTAGTTCTTCAGAAAACTCTGTGTTCCTGTTGTTCTGTTTTTCCTTGGTTATTAGAGATGTTATAAAGTACAATTTAAGGCAGGGGTCTTATATTTATTTGGCTCATGGGCCACCCTCCTTTAGCCAAATCAGTAAAAACATTGCATAGTAACCTGTACTTAAAAAAAGCCTCCAGAAATATCTGCTTCTCTGGAAAGGTTGAAGCACAGTACTATGCAAAAGTCTTGTGCTACCCTCCACTTTTATTCTTCGCAAGCTTTCTTGTAATTTCTTCAAATGTCAACTAAAGGTCCAATTCAGCTCTCGGGTGTCAGGTATTTCGTCAATTTCTTTCCCATTTCTTAAGGACATGACTTTCAGGTACTGTTCATTTGCTATAGATGGTTTTCTTAAGCCTGCCACTTCTGTCCTTCACTTGTCCAGTTTCCTCAGATGTTTCAAGGACCCCCTGCACATCATTCGGAGGTATACCGAGGTTTTCAATATTAGCTCAGTGGGAAAAATCATGTGGTTGCAAAACTACTATTATATGTCTGTCAAACTGTTATTTTTGTCACTTCTAATAACATTTGCAACAAATTGTGTGACTGCTGGTAACAAAATACCTAAAAACAAAATCTTAACTGAGTTGTCTTTTGTGTGTGGACACAACACAGGTTTGTAAGTTGGTGCCAAAATGATTTGTAGATCAGTGTTAAAGTGTCTTAACAAAAAAAAAAAAGAAAATTCCTCTGAAAATGGTCAGGTACAGGACTCAAAATGATTGAAAAAGCAGCCAGTTGCCAGAAAAAAAACTCTAAGAAAGATGTTGAGGAACATAGTGAGTAAAAATCGCCAAAGCTCTGCTAACAACAGTTCCAAACCTCCACTGGTATTAACATCAGCACAAAACCTGCAGTGATTTCCATGGCTGAGCAGCTCCTGTGTTATGTGTAGGTGGAAGCACTTACATAGTGTACAGTAGTATAAATCATACGACATTATGCGAACTCTGTTAGAGCATACAAATCCAAACATTTGATTCAAGAGCAAACAGGGGTTTAAAATAAAAGAGAGACGGAGTAATACAAAACAAAACCCTGAATACTGAAACCAGAAAGCTGTAAGTAACACAGTTATGAGGTTGTTAAACTACAACTCTCACTCATTTGCCTGCATGATATTAGTAAACTCAATCCATCCTTTACAGCTTTCATCAGATCTGTCCCTCTGAAGTCTTAAATCAATAAAATCCTGCGTCACGTTAGAACTGTCAACTAACATCGGTGTTTTCTCACTCAACCATGTGATGAGTGTTTTTAACTTTCAAATAGCATTATTCTAAATGCCTTTAAGTTCTGATGGCACATTCCCCAAGATTTGAAATAATCAAGCCGATTTTCTTTCTTTTTTTTTTTTAATTTTCCCTACCATCTCTGATTGTTAGCCAGTAATTGAAAACCCCACGGGCATTCCCAAAATACACGGTAGTGATTTGCCTTTCTGGTCCCTCTTCCCCTTCAGCACAAGCTCTGTCCCTCCTTAGAAATTAATTTTTGTACATGACAGTGAAAAATCCATTTCAACAGATGATGGAGAACCTAAACTTTCTTTAGAGAAATAAGTGAAGGTCGTCATTGTTTGTTTTGTATACGCTACAAAATCTGATGATGTGTCCTCTTGTATTTATGACTCCAGTGCAAGATAAATGACTGTTTTCCTTTGACCTTAAAAACCTGGTTTTGTGTGTTTCTCTGTGTGTGTGTGTGTGTGTGTTGTGCAGAAAGCAGATGACCGAGAGAAGCGCCAGGAAGCCCACCGTTTCCATTTTGATGCCATGTGAAGAAACAAAGCTGCATCATGGGAGACCATCCTCTCCCATCCTCCCGCGCATGCCACTCACCTGACCACCCTTTCCTCATCACACGTTTTCACTCAGACTCATTTCAAGGGCCAATAAATGGATTCTCGTATACCCCAAAACGTTTCTTTTTGATATTTTTCAGTCCTTGAGTCAGATGTTAAATATTTATGCTCCATTTCATTTATTCATTCCAGTTTTAGAAGTACAGGAGCTGCAACAAGGCCATAGAGACAGAGAACGAAATCCTAATGGGAATCACTCTCAAGTTTAAAGCAGTGATTTCTTTGGACCGACTGTCGTTAGGAGTGTGATCGTCAGTGGTGTTATTAGTGTATTTGGATCCTTTTGAAATGCCCAACAAGTAGCTCCAATGATAAAAGCAGTTTCTTTTTGTTTGTTCACTGGGAAGGAAGCACCTTTAACATTGTGTGTGTATATAAATGTGCATCGTTACTTCAAAGCCACACACGTGTTTCTGTCCATTGTCTTTGCACAGCTGATGAACCTCTTGGGTTTTTTCCTGTGAAATTAAACTGAACTGATTGTATTATATTGATTCAGCCTCACAGCTACAGACAGCAATTGGTGAAAAGTGAACATAATGTGATATAATGATGCTGCAGAACATTTTTATGCTTCCGATCCCACTAAAAATAATGAATGGCCTTCATGTCTGCTGAGTGCAAGTTTGTCTCTTTTGAGTCTGTCCTAAAACGCTGCATCATGGGAGTGCCAAAATAAAGAGCCTGGAGTCTGTAAATGTCTAATTCTGCTGCATCAAAGTCCTGCAAATCATCCGACGCCTGGTTGTCCTGCTGAATAAAGTACAGTTCGCTAGTTTCATGTTTTAATTTCTGTAGAGCTGGGTGCTCCGGTGTGTTTTATTTATATTCCAAGAATGAGCTCATGGTTTGCCATGTGGTTTGCACTTTTTTTAACAAATGATTAACTGTGGGTGTATGTAATTTATTTGGCTTGCAAATGAATGTTCAACCTACTAAATGTGTTTACTTACTAAAGTTGAGAATAAAGGTTTCTTCTGCTTAAGTCACACGTTTCTTTCCCTGTTCCACTCCCCTTAAAGCTGTTCATAAAATTATGACCCCAAAGTCATACTTGATCACTTTTAGGAATTTCCCACTGGAGCTCCTTTCCAAGAACATTTTTTTGTTTATTTTCTTGCTGAGAAGCTAGTGGCAAATTTCCACTCAAAATAATCCTCTTTTTATGCTCTCATTATCTGAATTTGTTGCACGGTTAAATTAAACAGCCTTTAATTTTACATGAGACCCCTGAAGGTCCCTTGGAGCACCCCTCTGGGCCTCCACCCCTCTACAGGGCCGCCCTACTAAATAATGCATGAAGAGGGTAAACCTCCCCTGCATGGAAAATGAGAGTAACAATGTAGCCTTCAAGCAGATTGCAACTGATTAAAAACACTACAGTATTGATAGACAATTGCCAGCCGTCGGTGTGTGTGTGTGTGTGTGAGAGAGAGAGACACAATGTTTGACGGAGAGATACAGTGAGGAAGGCAAGGGGACTCAAAGCAGTAGGTGGTGCGCTGCACGCTGTGTTAGACTAGGCAGCAAATAAAGCGTTACAGAACCGGAAATATGATATTTCCTTAAAAATAAAAGCATCCAGTGAAACAAGCAAAAGTTGAACGTGGGGAAAACGTGTCATTCCCTTTCTTAATGAGAGCAGTGTCCACATGTGCAATATTTAGCACATTAGTTATCCATGACTGTATTATTCGGGATAGCTGAATCAGTGTCATCCCCATAGATAGATAAACAGATATTTTTTATGTTCTTTTCTCTTTAAAAATCGCAACAAGTTCGCGAGTGAAACTTTATTTTTGAAATACCTCACCGGAAAAGCTCCGTGTGCGTTGTCTGTAACTTGACCGTGTTTCTGACAAGCCTCTCATTGATGTAAGCAGCGCCCACGGCTTAAATGAGCCTCGTTCAGGAGCGTTTCTTAGTTCAGACACGGGCGGAGAGCTGGCAGAGACGGACTCTTCTTCTTCTCCACCTCCTGCTGTCCTCCTCCGTACTCTTCCCCAGTCTCCATCTCTCTGTCACTCTCCATCCATCATCCATCCGTCTGCGTCTTTTGGATACCTACCTTCCTCTCCTTACAGCGCGTCAGCCCAGCTGGATCAGTCCATCCTCCACATGTCTTCTCCACCGTGGTCCAACTGCAGGCTGCTTTTGCTGTAATAATGCCTGGCTGAAAGGCTCGCAGCGGGGTTTTTCTTGCAGCAAAGGGAACGCCGAAGAAGAGCTCGGTGGAGCGCGGCTCTGCGTAATGGATTTACTTTTGTCCAAGCAAAGTTGGATTTTGTGAAGAGCCTCGTGGACCCCTACAATGGTCAGAAAAGGAGGGCGTTTTTAGAAAAGGTGCTTTTGGGTTAGGAATCACATCGTCAGAGGAAATGCACAGAGGTGAGTTGTACAGGAGCCCCTCGGTCATCCGAGGTGCGCGTCAAGGTCTGATTCCTTGGCCACGACACGGACGACAGCATATTTCAACCTTGGATATAATGTTTAACGTTTAATCCTCTCTTTTTAGCGCAGCTGACAGTTTAACTGCAGGTTGTGTGGTTTGATCCCATCAGAATGAAGGTGCCATGAAATTCAAATAGCCTATTAACCATGGATGCGCTTTAGAATATTAAAATGCGCCTCGTTAATTTAATGTTTTTCGCTTAATCTGATGCAATTTACAGACAGTTTTCAACGTTTTTTTTTTCCTGCTTTCTGTCACACCTATTTCCATTCTTCCTTTATTTGCATCTACTTGCCCTCTTGTGACAGATCTTGGTTCAAGCTTCTGCTGCTCAAACCACGCAGGTCCTCCAGGGTTTGGTTAGGTCTGATTGGCTTTAGTCGACCGGAGCACATTCGCTGCTAATTAGAAAGACTTAATAAATAAATAAAAGCGAACACCATTAATCATCTGGTATTTTGAGCATTTAATCGATAAAAATAGTTTTGTGGTTTTATTATCAGAATCAGAATCAGAATCAGAATACTTTATTCATCCCGAGGGAAATTATATTGTAATGGTCCAGTGGTGCAAGAAAAAAAAACAGAATCTGTGCGGCACTCAGTTTACAATCAGTAAACAGTGGGAACAGATTTATGATCATAGTGGACAGCAAAGGTCAGATACAATTAAAAAAAAAAAAACGCACAGCAATGATACGAGCCGTCAGCGCGCATTGACTGCTTCCAATAAGGCGTAATAAAAACAACTCGTCACAAACAGTGTAGCCTAGCGTAAATCTGTCCAGAAAAGGAAACTTAAAGCTATTATATGTTTTAATATATGTTATCAATAACCTAAAAATATATACTCTCATATTACTTTGTAATGCACGGGTTACAGCTAGGGGTGTCAATGGGTGCTACCATGGCCAGTTCCTTCTCTGCTGCGGTGGAAACGACGAAGTTTAAGAGCCAGTCACAGACGTCCCGCACACGCGCGTGCTGCCGCCGGAGCGACTCCCGCTGCAGCCACAGGATCGTGCCGTTGGCACAGGAGGCACGCGCCGGAGCACAAGGCTGCAACGCCGATTAAGTGCATCGAACCTGTCAAAGGGTCTGCATGTGTGGGCAGTTCACTGCATCGCTGAGGTTTAGGCCATGAAAACGATTTAACAGCAAAGCGAACCACCGCTAACAAAGGTGAGGAGAGCGTCACTGCCAGAAAGTAGCTTGGCCGCAAGAGGTTTGCTCAATACACGGGGATGAAAAAACAAGTTCTGGGCATGTAACTCTATCCTGACCACGTCTTAATAATACGTGACCAGAAGATACATAGTGTTTTAAGTTCAGCTTTGCAAAGAAACCTTAAAGAAAAATATTTTTAAGTAGTAAAAACTACTGAACAGGCTAGAGTTCCTTGCACTTCAAAATAAAAGCTGCTTCAAGCATTACTGTCCATATTAAGTCACTAACCTGCTGTTTCTAGGGAACTGCCTTTGCTGACTTTGAGGTGTGTTTGTAAATGCTCAGATTAATACATGAAAACCAATCCTGCTTGCGGTGAGTCTAATAGCCAGCATAGTCCGGTGTGTTCCAGCGCTGTTGATTTTCTGATGCTTTCAGCACCCTCTCTGGGTGAATGTACCTCACTATTTCACTACACAGGTTACAGTGTGAGTAAAACTGAAGCCTTTTTTAGAGACTTTCATATCTTATCAACTGTTTGGTACAGGCCATGATGAACTGCAGGATATTTCTGCCTGGTGTGGCCATTAAACAAAGAATTCTGCATCTCCCCCTAATATAAAGATAGTTTAGTTTCTATGTCCCTTTGCTTTGTACTTGTAGCCACAAGGGAATTATCTAATTCCCAGGCACTTCTAACTCGTGCCCATAAGTTATTCATCTTGAAGCCACACTAAATCATTGGCAGGCAATAGTATCTCATGGGCCTGCAATGATATTTCTCCCACCCGTGTAACAAGGGGTGTCTCCGTAGGGTACAGCAGTGCTGCTGATTCTGTTTCAGTTCAGAAAGCTGCGGTGACCTCAGTTTGTGCCCAGCTTCTGCTTGGTTTGGACGCCAGAGTGAGAAGTGATGTAAAGATGAAGTGACATGACCTAGAATAGCAGGGTTGAAACCGGCGGTAACGTTTCCTCTTGTGCTTTAAAATGACCAGAGGTCAATGGGATGAGATGACCCAACCTACATTTTTAAAAGAGTGCTTTATTTCATAAGATGTTAGCCCATTAACTCATTTTTTTTACAAGTTGTGTCTATGTTCATAATCTCCACACTCCACCCGTTTTTATACACATTTGCAAGTTGTTCTCTTGATGTTGAAGTGACAAAGACTGAAATCCTGTTTAGCTGCTGATTTATTTATATTGCTTCAAAATATGTTACAACTACCAGAATAAATTATGCAACCTTTGCCATTTAAGTGAGTTTACATTTTTATAGACTTGAAACACATTTAAGTCACTGCAGCCCTCTGTCTTTACAGATAAAAACACTCTTCTTACAAAGTCTGTGTTTTAAAACTTCTGACAAAAGGCCTTCGGAGTGTGGTGAGATTCCCACTGTGCACACTTTAGCTTTGTGGAGGGCAGCAGTGTTTCAGATATCTTCAGAATTTAGATTCTGGCTTATACAGTGAAAAAGCCTCAGTGTGAGCTTGCAGCATGTCTCTGTTATTTGGGTGGTCTGCTCTCCAAAATTGCCTGTGGTAGTTCGTACTCCCACCTACTTCACTGCAAGATAATGGAGACAGAGGTAATGAGATCCTGAAGCTGGGAGGGAGGGTTTCTGTATGTGTGCATTTCAAAATGAGTCTAAGCATCTAGGCTCACTGGTACGTTTGTGTTCATTGCTCATGTTAAATGTGGATTGTTCTTCATTAGATACCCGCTTCTTTTCTTTTTCTCTCTCTTTCTGTCAGTCTTCCATCCATCCTTCCTGGGTGCTATTATGCAATGTGCCACGCTCACACTTGCTCTCCTATTCGATGTGAGCGGGCCAACCTATTATGAACTCAGTGGGGATCAGGTCTACAGCGGCTTATCAGAGCAAGACAGTGTCAGAAGCTGTAACATGCGTGCTCTCAGCGCAGATATCATTGTACTACAACATATTCCATTTATTGGCCGTGTCCATGCGCTGCCCAGATGCCTGTCTTCTCATCAACGCTGTGAGCCCAGAGGCCCGGTATCCATTTTTTTGTGCGAATGCTTTATCTTTCTGGTGCCCAGAGGCTGCAGATTAGTAGGTGGAGTTGGTAGATTCAAATTACCTTTAAATAACTCTACAAGTATCATTGCAAGTCTGTTCACACTGTATAGGTACATTTAAAGCTGTGACTAATTCAAGTATTCCCACCATTCATATCTATATATAATCTTAGCTGTATTATTTCTTCATGTATGCCTTTATCTCACACTGAACTTTATCTCCATTAAGTGTTGTCATTAGCAACATATTTCTGAAGCCAAAATGCCTACTAGCACTGCACTTTAGTGTTGCAGATAAAACTATTATTGCTGTTGATATTCTTTTTGCTTCCACGTTTCGTGTTTCGCTAAGCATCTGTGGAATTCCTGAACAACTGAAACCATTTTGATAGTCATATGTGAAAATGTACTTATAGGACAAGGTAAACAATCTTTTAGATTAATATTTATTTGACATTTTATAGACCAACAATTCATCAGTTAACATGGAAATAATATGCAGTGTAATTAGAGAAAAGAATCACAGTAGCCCTTGTTTATTGTGCCGCGGAATGACAAGTACTGTCATAATAGTGTGTAGTAGAGTGTCACTATTGTGGCCAAACAGACTCATAATAAATGTAATACTGCTATTTATGGAAAATTTGATGAAAATAAATCTCCTGGTCCAATTAATTTTTGTACAGCTTTCTTAATTGTGTCTTTTTGCTTCTGTTTTCGGTAAATAAATGACACTGTAAATGGGGGTTGGAGAAAAAGTCTGTAACCATGACTGTATGAATCTTTAAAAACATGAACATGATATCAGTATTTCTTATTGAGACAATATGGCTATCATTAACACAGATATATCACAACACCCAGTCACTGAAAAGCAATGAATGAAATGGTGACCTCATGTCTAGTTCTCACTTTCCATCTTAGATTTGTGTTATTTCCAGGATGCCTGTGCACTATTTGTCCTTCCATGAATAATTTGTATTGATAATGGACTGTTTTTTTCCCTCATTCTTCCTCATTTCTCATTCTTGATATACCTTTATTGCATTAACTTTTCTCTCTCAGCTCTCCTCTTCCTTTTCCAGCCATACCTTTTAAAAAAAAATTTACTAATTCAATCACAGACGTACTTAAAAATGATATTGATCTATATTTCACTTTCATCAGACACAGGGGAAATCAATACCACAGCCGATCACATTCGGTGTCTGTTCAGTGGCTTTACTGCTGATGAACTCGAGGATATGAATACAGAATTTAAGTCACCTGTGACTAATGTGTAATATCTCTGTTTCACAGCGTGGGTACTCTTCTTTCTAATAGAAGAGGGTTTCGCTCTGGCACAGAGAACTAAAGGTAAGCTCAGGTGCTCCTATTTTCTCTTAATGTTGTTTCATCCATATCGAACCAGTGTGAAATGAGGAGGCATTATCTCTACTTTTATCACGGGACAAAAGGGTTCTTTTCTTAATTCCATCAGGCCTCTCGTCCCTTTATAGCCTCTGCCTGCTTGTTCCTTTTCTTGCACCAATCCTCCGTATACTCTCCTTGCCTTCCAATCATCCCCCCATTCATCCCTTGACTCAATACCCCATCTGTCTGTCGCTCTCTCTTTTCCCGCTGCCTTTCTGATTTCAGAATCCCCGAGCGATTATGGCGGCCAGAGGCCCAACCAGAACGACTGTGGCACGTGGATCCGCAACATCAACGGCGGGAGTTTCACCTCCCCAAACTACCCAAACCCCTATCCACCCAATAAGGAGTGTGTTTACATCCTGGAAGGTAAAGCCAGATCACTGATGTTTCATCTTCTGCTCCATAGCGCCAGAACAGCTGACACAGTTTCCCGCCTTTCAGCGTGTTGCCTCCTTCAGTGAATGTCATTAGCCTGACTGGCATTGTTTTATATAACCTCGCTCCTATCTGATTTTCTGTTCTTTTGCTAGCGGGCAATCAGCCTGACATTTTTCCAAATGAGCCATCCGGAGTTTGTTTCAGCACACAGATACCCTTTGAGAATGATGGAGAGTGGCGTATTGTGGGTAGCGCCTGACTTCTGGTCTCATCAGAGCAGTGCTACAGTGTGCTCATCTTTATTGGCAAAAGATTCGGTTATTGAAGTAAAATATAAAAGAGATGAACATCTGCTACACACACAAGCTCTGATGGCATATCACTGAATTGTAGGCATTCTTGTCAGCTTTAGTGTTCACCAGAAATATCACACCCATCAGTAATTTGGTTTCCTGCCGCACGGGAAACATAACGGAAAGCATCATTAGTAGCTATAGGAGATGCGGTCTGGGATGCTGCTTGATGTGTTTTCTAAACTGATGAACTGTTTATCCATGAAGTTAAAGTACAGGCTCTCATGCTGATGAGATGCGTGCTTTTACCTTCTGTGGTGGAGAATAGATTTTTCATATGGCTCAAGTGCTCCCCCTGTGGACAAAGCAAGCTCAGACCTATTGTTGGTGAATAAGCCTACTGATGTGTGCAGTAGTACCTCGCAGCAGGCCTGGGACACCACAGATGGAACCTATCATTTACTATTATTTAGTCCTGAATGGCCTTAGTCATATTCATATTCAGGCTCCAGTGTTCAGCCTTTCAGTATGAATCGCAGCGAGATGGATGCTCACGTTTGGTAGAAGAGCTAATCAGATCGCTTTGTAATCATAAACTGTGGTTAGTGAGCCTCATTGATTGTCATGTCCCAGAGTTCATCAGCTCAGTGATTATAGATTCTGCTCTTTACGTATCAAGCTGTGTCATTTACATGTGTGTTTGTGTGTGTGTGTGTGTGTGGGAGAGAGAGAGAAGGAGATGGAAATTTATAGAGAAAATGAGACTCAACACATCAGGGAGTGAATGCACTCATAGCAGGAAGTGCAGGCATACAGGCTGCTCATTCAAGCAGAAAGGTTCAAATTCAAAGGCAAGAACAGAAGCAAAAACTCACACAGGGAAAAGAGAATCACTTTGGTTATTTTAGTTCACTTGTTCTCTGTGCCATACACATGTACCACCCTTGACCTTGCTCTTTTTTCTCTTTTCCTGGGTGCATTTTGCTTCTGCAAGCTTGGCATGATTGAGAGCCCCACGCCCTCACCCTCAACATCTCTTTTTAGTATGATTCATCTCTGAAGGCATGAATTGGCCTTGCAACCGACTATGTGTGTGTGTGTGTATGCGGGGAGGGAAGGCATGGTATTAAAGTGCAACAAACATTCAGTACATTCATCTGGATCTGCATGACAGATGAACTTGTGAACTAGAGTTCATGCTGTGACTGCAGTGTTGTGTATTCACAAAATCAGTGACAGCAGTGCTGACATATCCCACAGTGGCTCCATTTGTGGATGCTGTGGTCATGTGTGTCCACATACACATGGGTGACACATTAAAGGGAAAGTGCAGAATAGAATATTTTAGTGTTGGGCCATTGCACACCTGTCAGAAAATGACATTGATCATACAAGTTTCTGTAACCCACTGGAAGGATGAACAACTTTGTCACAAGATATATTCTCTCATTTGGTGCTTTGATGATGGTTGGAGAGCACTGCTTGACATCTCCGTCCGAAGTCTGTCGTAGGCGTTCAGCTGGGTTAAGATTGGGTAATGCAAAGGCAATCAAATGTGACTCACATAATTTTTATACTCATTCAGTTCACCCTTATACCTTATGGATAGAGCATTTTCATCCTTGAAGAGACCACTCCAGTCCAGACAGAAATGTGTCATCATACACTGAAGACTCAGAAATGCTCAGAGCAACTTTGTACTGATTTGAAGTGAACCTCTTCTGAGGCGAGAAGTGGGCTCAAACTATACATGCCAAATATTTCCCCAGCAAACAAAATCGCCTTCTGTATTGTATTGTGAAGCACTTTGTGATTTTTATCTGTGAAAAGATATAAATAAATTTGACTTATTTACTTACTTTCTCATTGTAGGTGTCAAGAGTTTATGGTTTTCCTTTAATTTGTCACCTGTCTGTATATGTATTCTTCTGAGTGATGTATGCACACAGGGAATGCACTGTAAACAGACTGAGTAGCATAACTTGAAAGTATAAAATCTAAGCTAAAACTTGTCTGTGATGGATGGATGAATGGATGGACAGACGGATGGATGGATGGATGGATGAATGGATGGATTTTGAGTTAGACCATCATATTCGGGGGTGAACACCACCTGTGCTAATATTGGTCATTATTCATAGTTTGAATAGCAGAAATTACTCTGAAAGTCCTCAGTAATGCAGCTTGTACAGAGACAGGAAACACTTTCGTTTGGATTGATCATTTTTAATTCAGTGCTACTTTTCAGTAGTCAAACCACTTTCTTGTGGGCCACTTCTCACATTTTCCTTGATCATTTTGGTTCTCTCTAGAAATAGAATATCATGCCTGAATACAACCTTAAGAAACATTTACATACAGTAAACATTTAGCATGGCTAAGTATCAGAAATTAACAGTCAGCAATGTGGAACAGGATTTACAAGACTTTATAATCTGCACCTTGCTCTGAGCCAACTTCTAAAAAGTTCATGTCACCACCCAGATTATCTGCGTCCTCTAAAGGAAAGACTTAATTGTATTCTTTTCACAGATTTTCTCCCTTTGTTTCTTTTCTCTCTCTGCTCCCTTGTTTGCCAAAGCCCTTCCTAGACAAAGGATTCAGCTGTCTTTTGATAAGAACTACTACATAGAGCCATCGTTTGAGTGTCGCTTCGATCACATCGAAATACGTGATGGGCCATTTGGTTTCTCTCCGCTTATTGATCGCTTCTGTGGGGGAAAGAATCCAGAGATTGTCACATCCACAGGACGTTTTATGTGGGTTAAGTTCACCAGCGACGAGGAGCTGGAAGGCCTTGGATTCCGAATCGAGTACACCTTTATTGCAGGTACAAGCAACCGAACGGCACATTTGCACTGAATGTAATGGCACAGAGTGTGAAAGCACGTTTTTGTACACATCAAAGGTTTTGAGCAAGATGTGTGAAGAACAGGATCTGATTAGTTTGCTTTTATCCCAAAACATAAAGGAGAATCTGATCTCAGTATAACAAAAGGAATACTTATCTTTCCCCCTTTCCCATCTTGTTTGTGTTCATTACCAGTGAAAGATGATGAAAAAAGACAGAATGGACATCCACAGTTCTGTCATAGATCTACAATTTTCTTCAATCATAGATTCCCCCCCCCCCCCCCCCTGTTTTCTTGCTGTTCAATAGAGACAAGTCCAACATCAGAGCCTTCTAAATCTAAACCCAGTATGCCCAGAAATCAGTGCCTCCCATCAGGTGACAGATATTAGCTCCAAACAGACCTCCTTTCTGCTTTATCTAGGATGCGTTAATGTGATCTTATCTTGTGTTCTCTTCTTACCTGTTTCTGCTATGTGGATTGAGAGTAATGTGCCATCCAAATCTTATCATTTCAGACCCTGATTTTCATCTGCACGTGGGTGGACTGCTAAACCCCATCCCAGGTAAGCTCTTCAGTATTTTGCAGGTTTGCATTCGATCCTTTTTGAAGAGCTCCTCTGTGCTCAGAAGCTTACCGGAGGCTATCTCAGGCACTGGCGTTAATGCTGAATGCGCAAATGTACCTTGACAGGCATACGACTGTATATGAATTGAAAGGACGTACATGAGCACACATGTACAAATTAAAGAACACGAAAGAATGAACACACACCTCTTTTATCTTGCTCTTCCCTCCCTGCCTTTCTCTCTTTGTTTCTCTGTCTTCTTATTGTCCTTTTTCCTAATCCGCTATGCTGACTTCAGTTCAGCCTTAAATCCTTTTCTTTCCTCAATAAAATCCATTATCTGTCCCTCTGTTTGTCATGTGTTTCTTGTCATAATAACCATTTTTCTTGTTATCCTCTGCTCTTTTTTTTCTATTTGGTTCTTTTATGTACATCCATGTGACCCCATTCTTGACTTCTTTATTTTACACCCTTCTCTCCTTACATTTTTTTTCTTTTTTTAATGTTTCTCCTCCACATTTCTTTTGTCTCTCTACAGAATGCCAGTTTAATGTTGGTGGATGGGACGGGATTATCCGCTCCAGTCAGGTGGAGGAAGAAAAACGAGTGAAGCCTGGTGATGCCCTGGACTGTATCTGGACAATCAAGGCTCCTTCTCAGTCCAAGGTCAGTACAGTACTGACTAATTTTAGTCAGTAACCAGGTACAATCCTTAACACATTTTTTCTATCCTGCTCGAGCTCCATTGTGGTGCTTTCTAAACACTAAAATCTAGCTGGTGTCTATCTTTCTGCTTGAATGAGTCATGTTCAAAGCCATTTCATTATGCCAGACAAATGCACACCTTGAATAAATAAAATCTCTAAACATCCTCCATTCTCACTACAAAATAAAGTGGAATAACATTCAAGGGTTTTTATTCATCTCTCTTGGGGATATTTGTTACACTGGCAACATACTGAGTTAGCGCCACAGAAAGACAGAAATTTTACATCTAAAGCATCTGCAATGTTTCTCTCAGTTGTGTTCAATCATTTCACGCCTCTCAGCGTCACTGAAAATTGAGGTTACACATCTTTCTCAGTGAATTGTAAGAGCACAGGGGCTCTGTTCACACCCCAGCTCAGAATATTTATTTTGGCCACTAATGGAACTGTGGAAATGACAAAAACCTGCATGAATCCTGTCCAAGATCGCATGAAAATGATACAAAAATCTCATTGCAACAAATGCAGTTAATCCCAGAATAGATATGAATAGTCATCCATGAAAAGAAATCTGAGGAGAAGTAATTTTGAATTTTACCATGAGGACTTGAAAGGAGTTGAAGCGAGTGTGTGTGTGTGTGTGTGTGTGTGGGGGGGGGGGGGGGGGGGGGGGATCCTTGGAGTACAAACAAGAATAGGAACGACTCAGAATATCTAAACAGTCATGAAGTAAACTCTGAAATCATCTTGTATACTGCCAGTCTGTTCAGTGTGGCCCACTTTCCATTGCTTCACCTTCCTACTGTTCTCTGTCTTTGCACCATTAATTCTTTGCACATTCACCTATTATTGTGATGCTATTACACATTTCTTTTATCTATTTTTGTGTCACTGGGAAACTATTTTTGATATGCTCTGTAAGAATATCAAGTAAATAAGTAAACATGTAGCCAAGAAGATGTAAAACCACAACCCGACAAACCACCTGTTTACTGTTTACCACTGAAGGGGGACGCCTAGGAGGTGGTTTGTGGGTGTCGGTAGATCAGGTTTGTGCCAATTCACGCAGAGTCAACTTAATACCTTTTTTTTTTTTTTAATCATGTTCCTTGAGCTGCTGCTGAGCAGTTTTTACAACGTAGCGGTGGAGTTGGTGTTGAGAGTGTTATTTCCTTGGAGTGTACTCAGTCTGTTACAGCTATGGCACCCCTCACCTATTTAAGTAAACCTCTTGTATAGACGTGTTTTTTGCCACATTTATGAGCCAGTTTTGTCACATTTGAATGGCTAGCATGTAAAAAAGTAACATCCACATGAATGCCTATAGGCAGGTTGCATTGTAGCACAATGACCACTGATTAACTTTACCTTCCAGGGGTTTTAGTGTTGTGGCTGATCGGTGGATATAAATCTGAGTGAGTCTATAAATTATTTACATTTAAATATGTAACGGTAATGCATACAGTAGCATTGTGCACTCCTTTCATTGAGAACAACACTTCTGGGAGTCTTGTCTGTACTGTGGCTGTAATTTAAAACATAATAGGTGTGAGCATTGCAAATACACAGATAGGCAGCATGGGAAAAAGCAGGGCAGGCGAATTTTATTTAGTGTGGCCCTGGAGATTCACGAGTAGGCAATATTTTCAGGCCAAGAGTGAAAACCCAGTGATAAGTTCTGATATTTATGACTAGATATCAAAAATCTCATTGGAATTACAACCGCAACCTGGCTAGCCTTAATTCATTGCTGCTCTGCTTCTCCCTCGTGACTAAATGAGTCATCCACACACTCCTGGGCTGCTCACTGGGCTCAATACACTAATGCACACAAATTCATGCACATCCTATTAAGTATAAAGTGGCAGATGCATTCAGTCACAAATTACACAGTATCCATTCACACAGTACAAGTAATTACCTATGCACATTAAATACTGATATGTATATAGGAAAGTAATATTTTATTCATACACGATTTGCATGGACACGCATTCTTTTCTTACTTGCATAGCCTCCACAATCGCTTCACTGATTCATCACGTGCAGTGTGAAGCAGAAGTGAAGATGATCTGAATTTAGTAGAAGGACAGAGTTTAGTGGCCAGACATTAGCTCAATGACGCAAAAGGAAAAGAGCAGCAGGCTCAGCAGCTTTTTAACTGCTGCCTGCTCACCGGTGTCTGCGAGCTAAATGTGCTGAAATTTAATCTGAGCCATGGTCATGATTTTATCATGTCATTATTCCTGACGTGACTTGTGCGCAGAATAATTTGTTGACTCGTGCTATGCAGTTACTCACAGTGGGAGCTGAAATGAAACACAGTTATATACTTGGGCTTAATAATAAGCAAACTATGCTGTGCTGGCTACATAGACTGTAAAGATAAGATGGACATTGCTACTGTGACAAAACCCACTGGTTTGTGAAATTAATTTTGAAGCTTGGCTGGCATTTTAACCGTCACCAATTTTTTTGGAAACACACATTGGGTGCAAGAGGTGGCTCTGACTGAGAAATGGAAAGTGTTGCACCCTTATATAGTGTCAAGGGAGCCACATCCTAAAGCATAACCTGCTTTGTTGTTTATTTTACTCAGCATGGGTCCATGTTAGCAAAATGAAAATTACTTTTTCTTAACTGATGTAAAACTACATTAATTAGTTTGCAATTGCTATGTATTTTCTCATAGGCTGCTTTATAATAGGGAGGCACCCCCTGGTGGTAATTAGAAAAAAATGCAGGTTTACATGTCATCACCTTCCTTTATGTCCAGTTTGTAAGAAAGACATTCATAAACAGGGCACAGGCTCAAAGTGAAATTGTATCTCAGTAGTAGTGTTATTGTAGAAAAAGCACAGGTGTAGTAACAAAATTATATGAATAAAGAAACTGTATTGAGGATGCTTTCTACTGGCTGCATAGTCTAGCATTTTTACACGTTTCTCTAACAAGTCAAAGGTCCTGTTTCAGTCCAGTAAGGAGACACACGTATCTCAATGGGGTTGTGTCAGCAAGAGTGTCTGGTGTTAAAATGTGGCAGATCAAACATGTAGAACTACCTTCTAGCGTGACCCCTTGTGACTAAGGGAGCAGCTGAAAGTAGCTTTTATTAAATCTGTTTTGTAACTGGCTTATTCTTTATGACTTGCTTCTTTGTGCTTCATGCTATAACCAGGTGAAACTGTTATAGGCTGAGAATCGATGCGATGTTCAAGGACAAACTAGTGCATTTCAGTCAGGTTTTTAAAAATCCCATTAAATTTTGGGTCAGTACAACATGATAAATACAAGGTGTTTTGATACTTGTGTTTGACTGCAATTTCTGGAAAGCTGAAATTTTCTGACTTTCTGACCAGGTGAACACACCATTAGTATTTCATTCTGAGCCCAGACTTTCAATGCCAGGAGAGCTGCAGCTTCAGCTCACTAGTCTTTCCTCCCTGCGGCATTCTCTGAAGAGAACCATGAAAAAAACAGTGTGTGAGGAACACAGAGCACGCTGCTCCATATTCTCAGATTTACTTTTACACATTGCTATATACTGCTATATGTATCACAACCTGGATGAATTAGATTTACTTTGTTAAAGTAAACCTATGTTCTTTCCTCCATACCTACATGCTCTAAGGAAGGGCTTTATAACAATTCACAGGTTCACGGGGTTCTTCTCTTATCTGTGTTTTGTTTATTACGAGTGTCTGAACATCTTCCGTGTCTGCTATATTGGGTTTTCTGATTTAATGAATATTTTTCACACTTTGCTGACATAAAAAGTAAAGTTAGTCTGCTGTCATGGTTAGACAGCAGTGAAGCAAAGTGATGTATCGCTGTGAATTTCATTTGATTTGCATCTCCTGTGCATCCCCAGATCTACCTGCGCTTCATAGACTACCAGATGGAGCATTCCAATGAGTGTAAGAAGAACTTCGTGGCTGTGTACGATGGCAGCAGTGCCATTGAAAACCTCAAGGCCAAGTTCTGCAGCACCGTGGCTAACGATGTGATGCTTAACAACGACATGGGAGTCGTACGAATGTGGGCCGACGAGAAGAGCCGACTCAGTCGCTTCCGCATGCTGTTCACATCATTTATTGATCGTGAGTGCCAGTCTTCCTGACAATACTAATTCAGCCTGGACCCAGCATTTTAACATCTTGTTTCCTCATGTGAACTTCCACATGGTTGAGTATTTGGCCTAAAGCCATTTGTTATGCTGTTAAAAAAACAAAACAAGCATAAGACATCAGTTTCTGGATGCCATCTGGAATACACAGAACGGGCTCAGTCTGACCACACGTATAAAAACTGTGAGCTAGACAATTTTTACGGCATCAAACCCGGCATTCTGCTGCGGGTTTAACGCTGCTGTTGAACAGCACTTTATGCATCTCTGTAGATATTGACTAATTAAAGGGATTTAACCATCTCTAGCTTTTTTTAAGCTGACAAATAAGATAAAATATAACAGTTTTGTGTTATTATTTGTTTATTGGGAGTATGATTTGTAGTTTTCTTTGCCCTCTTTGGCTGAATAGTTCTCTGTTAAGAACGGGTAAGCCGTAGGGATTTATATAGATAAGATTTTGTTGCCATCATCAATTCTGCTTGTTGGTTTGGTGATTCATTAACACTTCCCTAATGAGTCTTTGTCATTTTCCTGTTTAGGAAAAAAGAAAAAAAGCCTTCACAGGTTTTCAGCATTAGCATGGCTGATTTACTATTTGAGTCCAAACACATTCAATAAACAGAAGAAAAACGCTTACATGTGACTCGGGCATGCAAAAAGTTCTGCTGCCTTGTGTTTTAGATTCAGCAAGTTTCATAAAAATGTGTTCATACTAATAAAAGAAACTGAAACTTTGGAGAATCTGGTGCCTCTTCTCAACTGGAACCAGTTCTCAATTCCCATCCGTAAAGAGAAAATACATGTTGAAACTTTCAGGATCTTCCAGGCCCTACATTATCAACCCCACACACACGAGCAGTCGTAAAAACAGTTGATTTATGAGGTCCTGTGTTCTATTTGCATCAGCAGTCAGCAGCAGACACTGAAGTGCCATTTCAGCAAGGAAAGCTAATTACGCTGCGCCATGTTTAGACCGCAGATATGAGAAAACCAATTATTAACTCCAGCATTTTTAAATAACTGAAAGTATCAAATAGTTTCTTGATATGCATGTCACCGCATCATACTGTGTTTATTATAGGTCACTTACAAAAGGAAACTAGGAATTTATTTCTCTGTTTTGGTAAAAGGAAATGCTGAATGGGGTTAATGGAAGTAATTTCAGTTTGGGCTTCATCACTTTTGAAGTACAACAGATTTTCAGACAAATGCTGCCAAAGGTTGCGTATAAAGTAGAAAGAAATTGCCAGGCAGAAAACAGTTTTCTGTTAGCACACTGTAATATTTTCATTAAATGCCTGAATGGACTGAAATATTAATTGCTACATTCTCCTGCACACTTCCCAAGCCCTGTGTGAATGCTAATGTTGTTTTCATCAGCAAACCCATAGCGATTGCAGTCGCAACTTGAAGGCTTTTAGATTCAGCAAGAGTGTTTTTCTTTTTGTTTTTTTACTTGAAGAGTCCTTAAGCTCATTTGGATCCTCATTAATTCTGACTTTGACTAACACACAGTTCATCTCAGAGTAGTCTGAAGACTCCTGAAGAACTCCTAAACTTTATTTGGTCAGAGTCAGCGACTGGCTTAAAGTTTGCTTGGAGGTCAGAGGGAACAATTAATCTTTGTCACTTAGTACAAGATGAGTTGTGCCTTTTGCACTCCGTCATGTGCTCTAATCTTCCAGCAGAATCCCCTATGAAATGTAAACCAGGCACATGAAAGCCTTATTAAATAAACACATGGCCACACAATGCACACACTCAGATGAGTTATGTCCTTGTGTGAGGAGAGAGGCTGTGAGGGTGAAGCGCTGTTGACACCTTCCTAGAAACTACATTTTGAAGGCGAGAGACACATAATCGGTTTGGAAGTGATGGCGGTGTCAGGGGAGCGACCCTGTCTACTTTCTCACTGTGAAATAGAAGGAGAGCACACTCCAGCGCACACATACTCTGTCATGCACAACCTCACATACATGCCCATATGCATGTCCCGCTGTCAAAGTTATTTAACCCTGAGGCAGAGGAAGCAAGTGGAGGCACAAAGCCCTCATCACAATGGACCTTGGAAGAGGGTTGAAACTAGTAGAGCAAACTAGAGTCTGTTTCAGCTGTGATAAAGACTCAGAGAGTGTGTGTGCACACAGCCGCTAAGTTTGTGTGTTTAAAAAAAGAGAGAGGAAAAAGGGGTGGAATGGTTTACTCAGGGGAGCTTGGAAGGGACAGTTTGGAGAAGCGAACAAGCCATAAGAGACAGATTTTGCTTTGTACTGCATGCGAAGAGGAACAATATTTATCTTTGTGAACACCATTTTAAAAGCATGCTCATCCTTTGGGCTCAACAAAGAAGTATAAATATGAGGCATACATTAATCATAATTGTTTTTGTTTTTTTTATGTTATCATTACTTTATTCCAATCTATTCTCTGTTACATCCTTTACTCAACTGAACAGGACAAATCTGATTGGGTCATATTTTGCACAAGTTATGAGCTTTAGGATTGGACAGTGTGCTTAGCACTGTTCTGGCTTTGAATCTCTCAGTGTGGACTTGGCATGTTTTCCCTCTCTGAACTCCCATTTGTTACTCAGTGATTCCTGTTTGTTGTGTATGTGAGCGTGAATGGCTGTTTCTGTGCCTGCGCCATCCTGTCCAGGATATACGACACGTCTTATACAAATAATTGGATACTAATGGATTTAGTGTAAAACCGACTTGAAATTAGATGAAGAAAATATCCTGTAGACATAATTTTCTGTTATTGTTGGCAACTGAAATGGAACCTTCTGACAAATTAAAGAAAAATAAAATAATAATTTGCATGTATTAGTTTTAGTATGTATGGTTTTCGCTCCTGGTATTTCTGTGCAGTTTTTTACAGTGGCACTGCATGTGTCCGATGATTCATATGATCAGATTTTTTGGGGAAAAAAACACACTGAACCACACAGAAACTCATGTATCGAATATGACACACTTAGCGTTAAATGTGTTTATAATATAGGGCTGCTCTCATAAAGATCAGGTTTTCTAATTTCCCTTATTTTGTATTAGACTCAATAAGAACTTTTAGTTGCACACTCCTGTTTCTTTACAACCCAACATGAATTTTCCATTTGTTATATAGAGCACTTTGTGAAATATTAACCAACTATTAGTGTTAAAATATTCTGTCTGCTAAACAATTCCTCTGGACTAATAAACAAAATACTCTATAAGTATCCTTAAGTACCCTAAACCCAGTTTCCACATCACCCATCTCTAGTTCCACTTGGCAGATAAGAATTGGCTTTTGCTGCAGCTCCAAACTTGTCTATACGAGTATGCAGTCATCTGCATCTTCTTTCAGCCTTGCATGTCTTCCTGCTGACTGGAAGTGCATCGGTCTCCTGAGCCCAGCAGCCAGCCTCAATTACCAGCCATCTCTGTCTCTGCCATCACAGTCTTCATACGCTGAAAGTTGCTTTAATGTGCTGTGTCTCGCGGCACCTGCCTAACCACCTGCACCCCCATGATGAACCGAAGCCATTTCTGCCCCCACATCCCCACCTCTGCCTTTCTTTTCATCTTTTCCCTATTCCCCCTCTCCACCCGCTCTCTGTCTCCCCTCTGTTAGAGTCTCTTGACGTGATGGCTGCAGTTTAGTGAAGCCGTCATCTCCTCCCCTCGTCACTCCGATGTTATGTGTGCAGGAAATGATGATGCATGGCCTTATGTGTACTGTGTCTCCATTAGACCTCCAGTGTTTCAGAAAATAATAGAACATTTCATCTTTTATTACGGGCCTCTACAGATTTCCACAGCCAAATGATTGTTCTTTTATTGTTATTGTTTTATTGTTATCATCAAAATAGCTTCTGGTACTTTTCACAGTGTAGTCATCTTTTACTCAGCACTGTTAGACAGATGTTTTCTTTTTTTCTAAATTCCATTATCTCAGTGTATTGTCTTTTGCCTGCAGCTCCTTGCAACGACAATACTTTCTTCTGTCACAGCAACATGTGTATTAACAACTCCCTGGTCTGCAATGGCGTTCAGAACTGTGTCTACCCATGGGATGAAAACCACTGCAAAGGTGATTACCTTCTTTCTTCCAGCTAGCTGATTAAGATTTACATGGCATGTTTGTAGAGTTTGGATTTGCTTTTAAATTTCCCAGTTTTCATTGCTGTTGTTCCTCTCATTAACCTTTTTGCTACAGAGAAGCGATCTAAGGGGCTTTTTCATCAGATCACTAAGACCCATGGCACCGTTATCGGCGTCTCATCAGGCATAGTTCTTGTTCTTCTTATCATCTCCATCCTGGTCCAAATGAAACAGCCAAGAAAAAAGGTAATACAGTCTTTGTTTTGCCATTGGTTGTAGTTAGACTTTCATTTTTTTTTTTTTTTTACTTTTTTTTCCCCCCCAAGCTTTATTTTCATTTTTAAATTGGAAAACAAATAAAAACAAACAAACAAACAAAGCAAAAAAAACAAACAGAAAACTCACAACTTGTATCTATGCCTTTCAAGGTTAACCTCAGACATCTGAAAACCAAACACAGAAAATACAAGCATAATAATAATAATAACAACAACAATAATAATAATAACAGCATAGCATTAATAATTACAGATTTTTTTTAAAGCAAACAAAAAAAACAAAAAACAAATAACTCAAAAAAAAGAAGAAAAAAAGAAAAAGAAAAAAGTGAGCAAGACAGAAAACACATCATGTGAACCCCTCCCACCATCCCCCCACCCCTTTACCCCTGTATGGCTCTCAACCTCATCACATTGTGTATCCAGACAGCCCATATTTACACCTATCTATAGAAACTCTCATGCACAGGAATCAACATCTCCCACGATAAAACTGCAGCATTCAGGAAATCGAGTCAGGAGGGCCTAACCGGGGATCAACTCAAGGCAGACCCAGGGGGATTTGCGTCATCTCTATGATCTTTTAGGTCCAAAGACGGTGGTTGGACTTTCATGACTTTCATTCAACTAAGAGATGTCGGAGCCTAAAAAGATGATACATTATTAAAAGCAATGGAATTACTTACAAGTTGGAAACGAATGTAACTCTAAAGACAGAAAACAAAAAAAGCTTATGCTTAGATTTCACCACATGTCACAAATAATCCAGTACATGAGATAGGAAATGTATAGTCGCATTGTAATATCTTCTTATGTTACACCATTTTCTCTTAAGCTTCCTTTTCCATCTATTTTTACATCACTCTATGATGCCTCATAACTCCCAGAACCCATTACTTACTCAGTAAGCATTACTTTATGGCTGTCTTGAGGTGGCCAGAAATATTGGAGTCTGACTCTCCCATAATGGATTTCTCCCTGAGTGAGTGCTGAACATTTTTCAAAGTGGAGACCCTAAAAAGGAGTACTCTCCTTTTGACTCATGCTTTAAATGGATATAAAATATATATATTAAAAAGCAAGCAAATAATGTGCATTGAGTTAAATTATTCATTCATGTTTATGGCACAAAGGGTACTTACTAAAACAAGTGCTTAAGTACTTGTTTTACCATTTTAGAAACATGACTGTTTAAATGGAGAAAGTTAAAGAAGATTCAGAGTTAGGCGTTTCAGATTTAACATTTAACTGGCATTTCCCAGCTGACACCCATCCAGTTAATCAGCACAAAAAAGAAAACATACATAAATGTCTCATGTGATAAATTAGTCAAAGTCAAATTTATTTATATAGCACATTTAAAACAACAACTGTCAACCAAGGTGCTGTAAATTTCAGATAATCAAAAGAGATAAAAACATAGGAAGACATGATAAAATTAAAGAAAAAGAAACATAAAATGAGATGATTTGAGTAAGGAATGAGACACATAAAAGTACAAATTCATTCTGATTTAAAACCCAAGGTTTTGAAGTGTCTAATGTTGGAGAGGTCCTGATGAAAAGGGGAAAATAATTAAATCTCTGTCCACATTGGACCAAATCACTCATATAGGAAAAGGAGAGATTTCGTTTTCAGAGTGCTTCAAGCAGCACATTTATTACATTTTTTTTGACAGTTTTAAGACTTAAAATGGTTATTCCTTCTATTGTCTTGATATATGCTCATGCTGCATCACAGTGGACAACCAGTGGCCTGGTAATCACTTAAGTGTATCGTCTGAATGGATCTTTTTCTTTTCAAGGTTGTAGCTCGACGTCCTGGTGTTTTCAATAAGGCTGGATTCCAGGAGGTCTTCGACCCTCCCCACTACGAGCTCTTCTCTTTGCGTGACAAAGAGATGTCCTCTGACTTAGCTGACCTTTCTGAGGAGCTGGACAGCTTCCACAAGATGCGGCGCTCCTCCACTATGTCCCGCTGCGTCCACGAGCACCACTGTGGTTCACAAGGCTCTGTGGCTACTGGCGGTGGCAGTATGAAACACAGCCGCACCACTCTGAGCTCGATGGAGCTGTCCTACCACAACGACTTCTCCAAGCCGCCACCCATGAAGACTTTCAACTCCACAGCCAGCTATAAGAAGAGCTGCTATGGCTACAAGCAGCACTCACAGACTCACGACTGCGACCAGCAGGTCATTGAGGACCGAGTCACAGAGGAGACCACATGTGAGATTTATGGGCGCGGTGCAACAGGAGTGGGTGGAGGATCCGCAGGTGGAGGAGCAATGGGAGGAGGAGGAGCATCAGGGATTGCAGGAGGAGCAATTGGTGGAGCGGTGGGTATAACGGGAGGAGTGGCAATGGGTGGTGGGATGGGTGGTGGAATGAGTATGGCAGGAGCCATGAGCATGGCAGGGCCTAGTGGCATCGCTGGAGGTATTGGTGGGATGGGAGGAGCCTGTGGAACCCTCAGTGTTCGTGGCAACAGTGCTCGTAACAGTACCACCATAGTTGATCCACAACAGCGCTCGATGTCCATGGACTTTTAGATGGAAGAAAAGAAATGGAAACAGATCTTGCAGGTCGATTGTCTAAAGAATGCAAGACAGGAGGACTATAATTCCAAACTGATTACTCCTGCGTGCTCTTCTGCCATTGGTCTTCAAGCACTGGTATTGTGAGTTAAATCTCGAGGACTCCTCTCATTCTCATGTGTAGGTTTGGGAAGAATGGATCAAAAGAACTAAAAGGAAGTGGGGAAAAAAGCTGACATAACTACTGGTTCTGTTCTTCAGGATACTGAATGATTCGGAGTGCACAAAGTGTGGAGACATCTGGTCTCTGCAGTCTTATACTCAATAAACATCTCCTTCCATCAGAGACTTCTAGGAGAATGTTCTCGCATGTAGACCCAGACTTCTCTCTGTTGGGTTACCACTCAAACACAGAAAGAGAGAAACCTGGAGAGATGTTGTAGACTGACTTTTTGCATTTATTCACCTGCCATGCACAGATATATGATATATGATCGATAGTGTGTCTTCTAATAATTTATTTGAGTCTTTATTTTTGTCAGTGTACTGTACCGTTAAGACCAGTATGTATCCAGCCTCACGATGATGCTTGGCTTTTAACTCTTTGATCTTTTTCATTTGTTGCTCAGACGATTTTATGAAGGTGACTCATCCATGACATGTTGTGTTGATGATGAGGTGGAAGATGAAGAAGTTGTTGTTATCAATAATGATCAACTAAATATGAAGATGGCGATGATAATTATGTGATATTACTATAATAATTATGTATTTTTCATGGTTACCTCACATATACAGAAGGTACACTTCATTCAGTCTCTCCTCAGGAAGAGCACATGAAGAGACTGTCTTATTTTGCTAAAAAATACAGAAAAAGACTATTTCTGCTCTGTGAGTTTTATAGCATAAGAGGATTCAGACTTTGAGTGATCATTTATCAGATATAAATATTTGGATGTGAGCCCTGGCTTGAATCAAGATAGCCTCTCTCTGCCATGCCTCTCCAAACCCCTACCCTTAAAAGGAGAAAATGTAATTCCTCTGTGTCCCCATGAATCGAGTGTGTAAAACAAGCACAACCTGTTTCCTTACAGTGACAGACATGTAGCCTACTTGGGACTCAATTATGATTTTAACCACTAGTTGTATAATTTCATTTTGTTGAATTAAATGAGAGCTTATTCACCTCACCGTGTGAGTGTTTCTGTTCGCTGTAACCAAAAAAACATAAAAGTAACTCTGCTCAGGCTGGAGATGTCAGGACAAGATTCACTTTGTGACATGCAGGCAGAACAGACACAGCCTATGCAAAGTGTTTTGGTTTGCTTTGATGCAAAAGGGGCTGTGAGGATACTTTATTCCCTGAGTTGTGCGAACCTTAAGATGTGGTTTAAGTTGAACACAAATAATCAAAAGCTGACAAATTCCACTTCCATCATGTGTTGTGCTTAAAAGACTTTTTGAGTGGAATGCATAATGCATTGCTTCCTGACCACCAAAGACCAATTAAGCTTAATTATTATTTACAGATTATTATTTTCTCTTTGCCTCTCACTCTGTCTCTCACTTGCTCTCTTATTTGCTTTGCTGTCATGATGTGTTTGCCTTGTTAAAAGCTTATGACACAGTCTTAAAGTATTTGGCCTTTATTGATGCTAATTCCTTTATGCATTGGGCTGGTCACCTACACAGTGACACCTACACGTGCTGTCTCGGGATTCAATCTAATGATATTAATCAATACATTATGCTGAAATCACTCTTGAACAATTCAATTAAATTGTATTTATATAGCGCCAAACCACAACAACAGTCGCCTCAAGGCGCTTTATATCGTAAGGCAGGCCCTACAATAGAGATACAGTAGAGCAGATTTCACAAAGTCTCACAGCTCACTACAAATAACAGTCAGCCAAAGTATGCAGTACTGTGAAAAACTAAGTACAGCCTGCAGCAAGTAATCATTTTCTGAACATTATGAGTCTAAAATCTTTGTGAAGGAATTTTGTTCCACTATTCTTTGTTTGAGTTCATTGAGGTCTGCAGGTATTAGTTTCTATACGCAGCTTTCTTGCAGTCTCGCCACAGCATTTCAATCAGGTTGAGGTCTGGACTTTGAGCCACTGCAACATGTTGTTTCTTTTCACGTTCAGCCATTCTTTTGCAGGGATCTGCCAAAACCTCTGCTTTTAGGTGGTCACTATTGCTGATGAACATTTAACCAAGTGCATTTAATTAACAGCACATGGCTGTTACTTTTTTCCACAGTACTGCATAGAGTAGTAGAATTTCTATAACACAGCATAACATAGTGGGAAATTCCATTACAAATTGTGTTTCATGTGAAAACAAAATACTATCTGTTTGTATTTTTACAATAATAAGTGCCAAAGGTCACCATTAACATCACTGAGAAACGCATGCAATAATAAAAAAGCAGCGCCACCTGCAGACACACTGCATTCAGCATGCGTTTTTATTAGATTGATAAGATTCGAGCTAAAGACACAAATCTGGACATCAAGAAGTGTTTTATACGCATATAAACTAAGACATATGACAGATTGCGGGTGAATTAAATGGCAAATAAAATCAGTTAGAAATCATTGTAACATAAATAAAGTACCAAAAAAAGAATTTAATGTGTCTAATTTAAATATCAAAAACATTTATTTTGTTTCTAGATCGGATCAATGTCCACTCGTATGATCTGGAAGAGAACCAATGAAATGAAATTGAAAAGCTGAGATGTCCTCTCTGGGATTGGAGTAATGCTCTGTGACTGTGGTAATAAACCTGTTTAGACAGTAATTGTTCTAGTTTATCCTTTTGCTACGTAGTACACACAGAAGAGTATACAACACGTGTATAAGTACATGCAATGAATGACGTAATAAGCATTTATAATTAACAGGGTGTGACTGATTGGATGAGTTTGTTGTCGAAGTATTATTGCACTGTTCATGGCCTCTCAGAAGAGGAGTGAGATGGGACGAGGAGATTTACTGACACCCAAGACAATTTGCACGGACAAGCTCTCATATCCCCCTCCGGTCCTAATGCTGGATGAGACATCTGAGGTTATAATATGCCACAACAGTAATGGATCTTTGACATGAAAAATGAAGACAAGTTAGACGTGGAGAGATCTTAATTATTGAGACACTCGCTATTAGGTTGAATTCATTAACTGACTTCAAAATTGAATTTCTGTGCAGGCATAACAAACTCAATGCCACTCTAAATCGTGACCGACATCTTAAATTAGCATCGGGTTTAAAACGAATTAAAATAAATTGCAAATATCTGCAGTGCTAATGTGGTCAAGTACAAGATTATATTCCCATGTTGTGAGTGTGTGATAATCACATGGTTTGGATTGTACTAAGATGCAACCATTCAAAAACAATGTATTCCATAATAAATAAAAGGGCCCAATAATAAATCAACCATAATTTGTCTGCAAGGAGTGGAGGTAGTCAAGGTGGATGAGTTTAAATACCTGGGATCAACCATCCAAAGCAACAGAGAGCTGAAGAAGAGACTGCAGGCAGGGTGGAGTGGGTGGAGATGAGTATGAGGTGTGACAGAAGGATATTAGCAAGAGGGAAATGGAAGGTTTACAAAGTAAAACCTGCTATGATGGATTGCTTGGAGATGGTGTCACTGACAAAAAACAGGAGATCGAGCTGAAGTGGCAGAATTGAAAGATTCTCAGATTTATTTATAAATGAGTATATCAGAGGGACCTCAAGTCCAATGCTTTCGAGACAAATTAGAGAACCAAGGCTGAGATATTTTGGACATGTGCAGAGGAAGGATAGTGGATATACTGGACAAAGGATGTTAAAGATGGAGCTGCCAGGCAGGATGAAAACAGATAACGTTTATGGATATAGTGGAGGATGACATACGGAAGACTGATGTGACAGAGGAGGATGCTATGAAGAGGGTGACATGGGGGCAGATGATCTGCTGTGGTGACCCCTAAAGGGAGCGGCCAAAAGAAGAAGATTCAGTGAGCATAAAGAGAAACAGAAAGTTCGCTTTTCATTAACAGACTGTAAAAATAGGATGGCAGTTTGAGCTCATAAACTGAGTTTAAACTTTTATATGTGAAGGTGTAACTATAGGGCCAGTTATAAAATGGCAAGAAATTGTTCAAGCTTTGTCTAAATTAACTTTAATTAAATGATTACTATTTGCTAAAATAAATAAATGAATGAATGAATAAATAAGAGAAGAAGAAAAATGAAAAGGAAATCGAGTGTTTACTCTCGTGTGTAAGCTCATCAGTCATCAAGCACATCCACGCCAGGGGGCACCAGCGGACACGCGGCGGGTCTGACTTTCCGGAAATGGAGACACGAGGCGAGCCAAACATTTTCCACCGGCTCCTTCTCTCTTTGTCCATCCAGCTCCTGTCGAAGCAACATCAACAGCAACACCATGTCGAATGTTGTCGACACGAAATTGTACGACATCCTCGGAGTGTCTCCGTCTGCAACTGAAAATGAGCTGAAAAAGGTAAATACACGGGAGATAATCTGCGGGATTATATATTGCGTTTAAGCTTCAAAGTCTTAAAAGTGCCTCAATCAGGAAATGCGTTGCTATGCCAAGCTAACTAACATTAGCAGTGAATCAGGCTGATCGGCCTGGATATTCATGTGACAGTCGGGCTGTGTCGTTTATGAGTTCAATAAATGTTTTATTTTTCTTTCACAGCTTAGCTACGATCGACTAGGAAAACGTATGTTTTTCAATTTGTTAATGTGAAAAAGGTCAACCGAAACCAAGGCTAGCTCGTACGCATCAAACGATTGACCTCACGCTAGCTTTAGCTTAAGTGTTTGTCGCGAAACCAGCCAAACTAGTCCTTGATTTTGTGTTTGACAAACGGTGGAAATAGATTCCTAACACGTAGTGATCAAAATGAGCCAAAGAATCCAAGTTTGATATTTATTCAGCGGTTTTGTTTTTTTTTAATTTGGTTGGGGTTTTTTTTTTCTCCCAACCGGCGTGTGATGTTTTTTTAACTGGCCATGCTAGACTAGACTAAATTGATGTTCACCGACCTCTTGTTTATTAGCACATTATCGGATAACTTTATTACGCTGTCATATTTTCATCTTAAACGTTATCGTTACCCCGTCCGTGCTTGGCGAGAAGATATGCTAATTAGCTTAGAAGCGTTAGCACTGAAATTGTCAGACATTTTGAGTTGCCTTTTTTCACTAAAGGGTAATTCCCGGGGATGGGTGCGTGGAAATGGTGAATAGCAGTCGTCGCTACTAAACCAGTTATGGATTATTGTTGGGAGAAAATGATTTTTTTTTAAAGCCGAGACAGAAAGAGCGTGGCCGGCCAGGTTTGTTCGGGGAGGGAGGCACGTGTGATTGCGTAAACCGTAGATAAGCTTCCTTCATGTGTGTTGGAGTCATGTCGACGCAAGTTTCCCGTAAACAACGCATGCCCAATGTAAAACTTGGTAGCTAATGGAGTTATCTGTGTTTTGTTATTGTCTAGGCATACCGGAAACTCGCAAAAGAATATCATCCCGACAAGAACCCTAATTCTGGAGATAAGGTAACTCCTCCGTGGCAGCCTCCACCTGGTTTACAGTGGAGCTGGTCATCATATGTCCAGATGAGTTATGCGATTATGTTTGTTTTAATTATGTTTGAAATTTAAAAACGTGATTGGGAAAACAATAAAAAGCTAAAAAGTCTATTTTCATTTTATGCACCAAATTCTAATTCTATTACAAGCCTCTCTTTCATCATCCCCAATATGGCAGTGAGAGATTTTCTCAGCAGGAAATTGTTGCCAACAGGAAAATGGCAACTTTAGAGTCTTAAGTCTGGAGGCAGTGTTCATAATAATGAAAGCATTTGAGTTTTGGAAATGGTGTCCTACCGAGAATATCCTTTACACTGGCTGTGAGATTAACTCATGCTGAACGTCACATTTTATCTTCAAAGCAAATGGAAGCTAGATGTTATTCTTTTTAACTATTAGTTTTCTTTCTTTCTTTCTTTCTAATTTTTTTTATTGGAGACCTAAGAGTGTTGGTAAAGTTTGTATAGGTCAGTTGAAACTTTGAGTTACTGTTTTGACAGGTAATCAATTTGCTGTGAATTTGCTCTGAAGTCTTATGTTTTGGAGAGCTGAAATTGTACCCAAGACTT